CAGAAAAGAAGAGAAGAGAAGAGACAGAAAATAAAAGAGAAGAGAAGAGAGAAAAAAGAAGAGAAGAGAAGAGAAGAGAAGAGAAGAGAGAGAGAGAGACAGAGAGCAACAGTTGTCGTCGTCTCTCCCTTCCTCCAATTAGGAAGAAATTCGCGCTTCTTTCTTCACTTTAATAATTATACTTTCTCGTATTTACATTTTAACATTGTTCCTGTTGATGAATTATTGGATGATTCAGGGGATTGATCGCAAGTAATAATTATAGAAATTATCCTACTTCATATAAGTTTTATTCGAAAGATCGAGACCTGTCGTGATCGTTAATTGAGAATCTTTCGCAATTTAAGACGAGTTTAGGAATGCGGAATAGGGTTCCCATCTATTGGAAGTAAGCCAGTGTAACCGTGTCCGAAGTAGTTTAACTTTGATTGTCGTTAAACTGCTGGTCATTTAATGGGAAATCTATATAGTTCAAGTTTCGAACTATTATTAAACGGTTCACGGTACCTTCGAATATTCAGGTATGTGACAACCGAGACTCAATTTTGATGAAATTCCAAATAGGTAGAAGTAGATCTAATATAACTTGTGATAATGAATCTCTTTCTAATAATTTTGATCGTCGTTGTTGTTGTTGTTAATAAATTAATACGACCAGAAATTTACAAATACGTAATCGTGATTAAAATTAAGTGAATCTAATTTAACCTGTGAGAATGAATCTCTTTTTAATAATTTTGATCATTGTTGTTGTTGTTAACAAACTAAAACAACTCAAAGTTTCTAAATATGCAATCGTGACGATGATGATGTGTGACGATGAAAAATTGAAGGAAAAAAAAAATTTCAATCTTTTTCTAATGATTTTGATCTTTTTCTATAAAATATTCCTATAAATAATAAATTCACCTTCTTCCTCCTCTCTCCTTCCCCCTTTTCCTCCTTTTCCTCCCCAGAGAAGTTGAGATTAAATCGAAATGGTCTTTGTTGTTATTAACAAACTAAAACAACTCAAAGTTTCCAAATATGTGATCAAATTAAGTGGATCTAATATAAGTTGCGATAATGAATCTCTTTCTAATAATTTTGATCGTTATTGTTGTTGTTAACAAACTAAAACAACTCAAAGTTTTCAAATACGTAATCGTGGTCAAATTAAGTGGATCTAATTTAACCCATGACTATGAAAAATTGAAGGATACAAAAAAAACAATTATATCTTTCTAATAATTTTGCTCGTCGTTGTTGTTGTTAACAAACTAAAACAACTCAAAGTTTTCAAATATGTAATTATCTTTTTCTAATAATTTTGATCCTTTTTTAATAAAATATTTCTATAAATAATAAATTCACCTTCCTCCTTCCCCTTCCCCTCTTTCTCTCCTTTTTCTCCCCAGAGAAGTTGAGATTAAACCGAAATGGAGGTCGTTGTTGTTATTATCAAACTAAAACAACTCAAAGTTTCCAAATATATAATCATGATGAAATTAAATGGATCAAATTTAACCCGTGACGATGAAAAGTTAAAGGATAAAAAGAAAAAACAATTATCTCTTTCTAATAATTCTGATCGTCATCGTTGTTATTAATAAATTAAAACAACCCAAAGTTTCCAAATAACTGTGATCAACGAAGATCAATTTTGGTTGGATGAAATTAAACTAATTTAACCAGTGAAGATGAAAAGTTAAAGGATAAAAAGAAAAAACAATTATCTCTTTCTAATAATTCTGATCGTCATCGTTGTTATTAATAAATTAAAACAACCCAAAGTTTCCAAATAACTGTGATCAACGAAAATCAATTTTGGTTGGATGAAATTAAACTAATTTAACCTGTGACGATGAAAATATAAATGATAAAAAGAAAACAATTATCTCTTTCTAATAAATCCATTCAAAGTAATTCAATTTCGATCATCGTTGTTACTATTAACAAACTAAAACAACTCAAAGTTTCCAAATATACATAAATCGCGATCAATTTCGATCAATGAAATTAATCTAATTGAACCAGTGACCAGTGATGAAAAATTAAAAGGACACAAAAAAAATAATTGAAAAATAATTTCTAATCCCATAAATAATAAATTCACCTTCCCCCTTTCTCCCTCCTTCCCTCCTTTCCCTTCCCAGAAAAGTTGAGATTAAACCAAGATGCTGGGAATATTAATAGTCGGCGCAGCATCGTTGGCGCTACGTTTCCGACAAGCGAGCCGCGATAAAACGCTTAAAAAGTGTGCGCGTAGCCATGGGTAATTAAGGGTTAAAGGGTTAAGTTGGTACGAAGAGGGGACAAGCTTGTTACACAATCTGTCACCGTGCGTTGGATCGTGCGCGAGAGGCAATATCTCTGCGCGTGCCTTCAATCCCGGACGTCCACGAATAAGCCCGGCGATAAACCGCGAATAAACATCTACTTGACGTAATTGGCAATCAGCTAAGATAGATTTATACACGGTTCTAACCCTTCCTCCCTTCTAACACTTTCAACACTTTCCATATTTTTCCTCCTTTCCTCCTTCCCTTTTTCTTCTTTCCTTTTTACTCTTCTAGCCACTCTTCTATCCACGGATCGAACGAAAATCATCGTTGAGTATTGCATCTTTTCGAAAACAAAAAAAACAATTATCTTTTTCTAATAATTTTGATCGTCATTGTTGTAAATTAAAACAACTCAAATATTTTCTAAATATGTAATAATCATAACCTGAAAAATTGAAGGATACAAAAAAGCAATTTCGATAATTTTCTAATAATTTTGATCTGTTTGAGTGAGAGATCGATGAGTAGAAATCGGTACTTACCAGCTTTCGAAGATACGTCGTGAAAGCACAAGGACACGCACAGCAAGCGGCAAATCCACGCAAAAGTCGTTGTCTTTGCCTGTAAAGAGAGAGAGAGAGAGAGAAGATAAAAGTGAGCGTGGATAATAAATCTTGTCGATGTCGATAAATATCGATATCTGGCGCCATTAACGACGCGCCTGAATTATTCGATATATTCGGCGCGCATTACGCGAAAATCCCCAAATTGCCTCGTTTATAATGGCGTCGCACCATATGGATAGTTAATCACCCGTTAAATCAGCAACAGTAGCTTAGGTAGAGATAATAGTTTGCCACGCTCGCGATAATATCGTATGCGATATTATCGCATACGAGCGTGTGCGTAACATAAAACGAGACGAGTTTGCGATCGAGACGTATCGGGAAATGATATCGTTCCAACGATTGTTTTATACACGCCCCGATCTTTCTTCCCCATCATGTTTTCCAATTTCGAAACTTAGAGAGGGGGGAGGGAGAGGGGGAGAAGAGAAGAGAAGAAAAGACAGAGAGAGGGGGGAGAGGGAGAAGAAGAAGGAGAGAGAGAGAGAGAGAGAGAGAGAGAGAGAGAGAGAGAGAGAGAGAGAGAGAGAGA